AATTGTAACATACTTGTCTATATCGGCAGTATGAATAATAAACCCCCTCCATGAAAAATATATAAAAGTATGCATATTCAATTGATATCATATTGGTACGAGTATATCGTAACTATTTCATCAAATAAAAAAACTTTAAATTTAATTCAGGAAACAGATAATTATTTTATTAGTGAAAGCCTAATTTGTACACGAGTTATTTTTTTTTATCTCGATACAATGTTGTACCAGCGATAACTGTATTAATATAAATGTTATGCTTTGGTGAACGTTTCGATTGATTGTGTTTTATAACCAACACGTTGTATTTGAATCTACACGAGAACACTGCGTATATCATTTCCTAATGAGCGAGGTAATAATTCACAAACACGATCACGGACATTGTAGACGAGTCTGTAGCACGAACAATGTGAAATGTTGAAGATCATGATTTCACTCAGACTGCTCGGACCGAACATCTTTGACGGTGTTCCCTATTTGTTTTTTTGTAAATTTGAACCGTGTATAGACAGTATAATTTTCGGCAAAAAATCGTGGGTGATTTCATTTCTTTAGAAGATCAATTAGGGCGGAGCAATCATTCTACACACACTCGAAATACGAGAACTCATGCGAATCGTAACTATGGTACTTCAGCGGACTCGGGGAAAAGGTGGGGGTTGACGAAACTCCATTATAACACGTCAAAGTATAAAACTACGCCGAAGAGTTTGAAGAGCTAACAGTGCATTAGCCACAACAAGTTAAAGCGGAATATGCTGAAGTGAAATCGTAACCATCATTGGCCTCCGCTGCCGCGGTAATTGACGATAGGCGCCATCTTTCGACTCAGAAGGAAGGAAGGAAGGAAGGAAGGAAGGAAGGAAGGAAGGAAGGACAGAAAAAATGCCGAAGTGCCATTACGATTTGGTTAATAAACGTATAGTTTATGGGAGCGTTCAACCTTGATTCAGTTTTAGGCCAAATCATTGTTGACATCGTGACCCGTAAGAGCAACATAACGCTGATAATGATTGGCTTAGGTCAATTTAGAACTACCAGAGAGTGTATTCGACGTGATGAAAGTGGAAACCGTCCCCAAAATGTAAATTGTTGTCACAACGTAGTTTACGGTTCCATCTACAACACGCAAATGAATCTTATAGGATAAAAGATTCCTCAACAAATTATACCTATTGAAATATTCATATACTTGAGTCTCTGTCTGTAACTCCCAACAACAATGTATATATTCCGTGAATATGTTAATAATGATAATGTATTACATTTCAAGGCCTCCAACCCATATACAAAGTTTGTCACGTGAGACACCGTCCCCCCGGTGCGTGAAACAATATTTAGCAAAGACTCTATAACATAGGATCTATGCATTCACAGATGGTTTCTTTTGTTGAATTATTGCATTCACATAAAAATGCATAAATACGATTCATCTGAATATTTGAGTTAGAAGTGCCTACTGGGGTGAACATTCCTGGTAGAGTTGTAAATTTTTGTCACACTAGCAGTAAATGGTACCCGTCATCTACTAGTAAGTTTAATGTTTTTCAAACTGGATACTGGCTTGCTGCCAACACAACGTTAAGGGGAAGATTAGTACGCAAAAATTGAGCATAAAACTTGATATATATTTCCAATTGTAATTGGCATACAAATATTTTTTCTGGTTCAAGTCGACTTTGGAATATTCGTAATTACGTATTTCTTCTATAAATTTTCTTTTGCTGTTTAAGTATGTCAGACACGTTGTTTGTATCAAACTGTAAATATAAGAACATCTTTATAGCATTTTTCCTGGGTATAACCAAGAAGTCGTAAGTCAAAGAAGAAAAGTATTTAAATGAAGGTTGCTTCAAGTATGTCTGTCGAAATTGAAAATATTAATTTCATGAGAAACATATTTTATTATGCGACGAGAATCTAGGATACTACGGCGATTTGCCAATAGACGTAGACCTAATTCAATGACATATGGACGGTTGTTTCATAAAGTGTTAACTAATCCATCGTGTTCAACATTATATTGTCAGAATTTGGTTTCGAAAACATAACATAACAATTAACGTGAATAAATATTACTGTATTATGTGAAACCATAGGGAAAACTGTCAATTTATATTTTTTTCATGCAATCCACTATAACAATTATATAATTACGAAACATGCCCATGGATCTGAGATACGTTTTCCTATATCTAAGCTTTCAGAATATGTATAGCTACATAAATTGTTGTAAAGTGTCTATGTATAGCTGCTATAATATACACAATATATTATTCGATTCCGCAGGCATTTTTACCCCCCCCCCAATTACGGGTGAGATGAGGAAGAAAATGTCATTGCAACGTGTGTTATCCCGATAAAGTTACTTGACGGAACTAGCGACAGAAAGCTGCTTTTTTGGCCATGAGAATTTCATGAAATCTGTATTTGATGTTGACTTAGACGAATTTATATAGAGGATGTCAGTGATTTTGACCAAGTAGTTGTTTCCTGAAACTAAAAGTGTGACTATTACGTCATGTTGATGTTTCAATATACAGATATCACGCTTA